CTTCAAGTAAGGTAATTTAAATGTTGCCATAAATATGTTGGATACATTATATGATTATAATCTTCATCAAAAATAAGAAAAGCAAATGTTTCGACTTCTTTTCCAATTTTGCATTAGTTACTTGTTAAATAAAAAATATAAATAAAAAAAAATTTTTTTCCAAAATTTGTAAAAAAAATTCAAGAAACAATAGTAATTAATTTTTGAAAAAATAGTTATTTATTCTACGAGTTTGAGTGTAAATCGGACGCATTATTTCACCGAGTGGTTTTTTATCATTCACGAGGTAGAATAAAGCGTCCGATTTACACTCAAACGAGTTGATTACAACATTTTATTTTTCGAATTATACTCAACAAGGCTTAAACTTGCGTTGAGAAATGCCAAGTTGTCAAAACTTCCTTATACGGGAAAAAAACCGTAAATTTTGCCAGTGTCAAAGAATAAAAATTTTTTTTTAAGTTTTTTTTGATTTTTTTAAATTTAACAGTAGTAATAGTTATTTATTATACAATACAATAGAGACATTGTTTATCTATGAGTAAAAAAGTTCACGAGTGACGAAGTCACGAGTGGGATTATTTCACAATCTTTATCGTCGTGTATAATACAACATTTTTTCTATAGCAAGACTTAAAGTTTAAGAGAAAAAATAATGTTTAAAAATAATACAATTTTTGGCATTTCTCAATACGAAACGTCAGATTATTTTTAACAGATTTAAAGCAAGCCTTGTAGAGTCTAATTCGAAGAATAAAATATTGTATTCAACTCGTATGAGTGTAAATCGGATGCTTTATTCCACCTCGGGATGATAAAATTTGTAAATGTAAATGAATAAAATAACATTTTATCTACCCTTGCTGTTAAAGTGTTACTTTATCTACCCTTGCGGTTAAAGTGCTATTTTATCTACTCAAAAGAGTTGATAAAGAAATAGTTTAACATCTGCTATAGAAAAATAGTAATACAAGACGATAAAGTAATTGTTTATCTACGAGTGAAAAGGTTAAGTTTACGAGTGGACTTTTTTCACGAGTAGATAATCAATCTTTATCATCGTATAATATTTCGTTTTATTTTGTACTCACCTACCAGAATTTCTTAGTCATAGTGGAATATAAACAGTAGATAAAAATTACTTTATTCCACTAGACGGTAAAAGACTATAATATCTACTGAAATTAGTTGATAAAATATAAACAAATAAAAATTACTTTATTTCACTAGACGATAAAAGACTACTTTATCTACTGAAATTAGTTGATAAAAGCACTCTTTAACATTGAGTACAAAATAAAGTTTTTTATAGTCTCATCTTGACCTAGTTGACTTTGATTTTTTATTATGTCTGAGACACGCTGTAAATAATTGAGTTTTAATCCTCTATACCAAATTAAAATAGAGATAAAAAAATTAATAAATCTTTTAACATAGTAGTTTATTTGTGGGCTTAATTTAAAAGTTAGAATAAAAAGCCATTAAAAATATTAAAAATTTATTGTCTCTTGAACAATTTTTTAAACTATTTTGATACATGTATACTGTTACATAATTTATGTAATTAGTTTAATAAAGCTATAAAAGAGAGTATTATTTACTATGTACAAAACAACCAAAACTGAGAGCTACTAACTATCCTTACACCTAATTATTTATATACATCACAGTGCGTTTACTACATCTAAAATATTGCAAATAAAATAATAAAACCAAACAATTCCCGTCACACATTATTGTTCCCTAAGATCTGATTTTTGTACATGTTTGAAATAATTGCAACAATAGGCGTATCCCTGATCACTTTTTTGAAGAAAAGATCCTCAATAGTGCGCCCCGAAATCGTCCTAAACGTCGAACTCACCAACAGAAGAATTTTCCCAAACCTTAGAGGTTGTTTGGGATAAGTTGTCGCGACGTGTTTGTTAAGTCTCATTTGTGCATCGTCTTGTATGACACTAATTTTTGCACTTTCGGTCGTTGTTCTTTCGTGGTTTGAGGACGACGACGGTTTGTCAAAAGAAGTCTTAAAAAGGACAATAGCTCGCAAACAAGCAAACTCGTGAGCGTCCAATTGAAACTGATTGATTTTTTTCAACGTTTCTTGAAACTCGTTGATTTCCTTCAAAAATGCCTCTCTCCGGTGGGGTTCTTGTTGCAAGACACCGCAAGCTTCCACTAGGACACTGAAATCCATCAAGGGGAGGAATTGGGCAGCCCCCAGGACGAATAAGTCCAACCAGCTCTCTTCCAGGAGGAGGAGTTGGTCCGAAATGGGTAAAGAAGTAAACGCTGGGATACTTCGTACCCATTGGACGTTCATGAAGAGGAGTTGTGCGGCTGATTCACAAATTGCCGATGGGTTTATCATTGTTGGGGCGAATAATGGGGGTAATGGGAGTGGTGGTACCTAAAAAAAGTTATTAATTTAATTTAATGTCATAACAAAGGGCTACATAAAAAAGTCATGTCGTGACAACTTGACAAATTATACAGGGCTGCGCCAGAACTGGCACCCCAGAGAAAAATACCATATAAGGTAAAATACCAGGAACATGGAAAAAATGTTAAAAATATTTTATCTATAAAAATCTCGAAGTTATGAGGGTATAAAGTTTGCACTTTGACTCTATTTATTTCTATTTGAAAAATGATTTTTCATGTTTTTTTGCTATAGGCTATTAAAAGAGGAAACAAGGAAACTGTATTCTAAATTGTTACTCTGTTCAATGTTATTTGTGGCTTTTATTTGCAAAATTTTTGTCCCTTTACTAAATAATTATAAAAAAAACATACAAGATCATCAGTATCATTAAATAGATATATAAAAATGTCAACTCTCAAAAAATAACTGTCAAAATTTTGTGACAGATAGAATTTTTTAAACATTTTTTCATGTTCTTGGTGTCTTACCTTACTTGAAATTTTTTTCTGGGGCGCGAGTTCTGGCGCACCCCTGTATATCATTTTGTTCGTCTCAGTGAGACAAATCAAATGCACCAAAAATAAAATTAAAAAGTCAACACACTTTCAACTAAATAATTCTAATTTAAATAAATTTAAAATACTTTAATTTTAAAAAATCATTACTCAATAACTATTAGGCCGATTTCCTTCAAATAAAAACCATTCTAAAGAGATGGCTTTGTCCCTTGGAATGATATAAAGTTTGAAATTGAATATTGGCAAACTTTAAGTAAATCGAAATAATCTAAGAAAAACCCTACGAGTAAATTTTTTTTCATTATTACCATCGTGTAGAGCATCTTTTTATTAGTGAGAATCCAAATTTTTAAAATAATATACCGAGTAGTTTTCCAGATATAATTTTTTGAAGTTAAGGTTTGGTAATCAAGCATTGAACAAAGAAGGTGCAATTGAAAATTTTTAAGCAAAAGAAGAGTCTTAAAACAAATACTTTTATAAAAATGCAATTTTAAGTAAGATTAACATGCATTTCTCCTATATGGCGCAATACCTGAATAGCAAACCTTAACTTCAAAAAATCATATCTTGAAAACTACTTGGTATATTATTTTAAAAATTTGGATTCTCACTAATAAAAAGATGCTTTACACGATGGTAATTATGAAAAAAAATTTACTCGTAGGGTTTTTCTTAGATTATTTCGATTTACTTCGAACTTCTTCGAACACTGTTCGAAGAAAAGTTTGTCAATATTCGATTTCAAACTTTATATCATTCCAAGGGACAAAGCCATCTCTTTAGAATGGTTTTTATTTGAAGGAAATCGGCCTAATGTAATGATTTTTTAAAGTTAACGTATTTTAAATTCATTTAAATTAGAAAAAAATTATTAAGTTCAAAGTGTGTGGACTTTTCATTCATTCTAATTCATTTAAATTAGAAAAAAATTATTTAGTTCAAAGTGTGTAGACTTTTGAATTTTTTTTAGTGCATTTAATTTGTTTCACTGAGACGCCTTGGGTAATTTGGTTTTTTACCTGTGGTAATGGTAAATAGTTATTGCACAAGAACCCAGTTGGGGGTAGGACTGGTCCTGGGTCAATAATGGAGGGATTTGGTTCGTATTTGGGCATTGTGAGGTTCAGGACGTTTCCTGGTGGCGACATTATGACTCTGCTTTCATTGTAGTAATTTGACATTTGTTGTCGTCTCAGAGTGGAGTTTCTGGGCCCTCGTTCGTGTTGCACCGCTGAAATAACAAAATATTACTTCAGTGTTACCCCTTATTAACCCCAAGAACAACAATCACGCACATACGAGTTCATTCATGTTTTTCCACCTGGTGCTAGTCTTGAAGTTAAAAGTTAGTCTCATTCCAGTCCTTTAAGTAATTTCTGCAACTGTTGCACCATTAGAGTGCCTACTCAAGTCAATTGCTTTTCAAATAATTAATAATAATAATAATAAGATTTATTGTCGGAAACTTTTACAAAATGTCGACATGTCAAGAAGGAACAATTGGATACATACAATATACATAATACATTACAAACACGTTAATGATTTTCAGTTTATTTTTGAAAGTGCTAAAATTTTTTGTTCTTATAGTGGTAGGAAGTAAATTATAGAAGTTTATACCTGTATTTTCAGATTTCTTTAGTCTTACTTTTGGTATCACAAGATCTTGATTGTGGCGTGTGTATTATGTGCTCACTTCGGAAAATGCCACAAGGTAGAAATGTTCTTTTTTATAAAAATTAATTTCTCGAATATTATCATGGAAAATAGTGTCATGATCTTGTGTTTTAAAAAAAGATTTCTACAGCTCATGTCGTGTCTCACAGAGGTTATGGCCCTGATAGCTGCTTTTTGTAGAATAAATACCTTTCGCAGGTGTGTACAGGGTGCTGCATTTTGGATGTCCGAATAGGGAATCTCCGAAACTAAGAGGTTTAGCCAAAAACGAGTAATACATTCTGGGACTCATTTTGGAGAAAATAATATTGGTTAAAACCGCATGCCGCTATCGTCTTTTGTTTTCAACTTATAGACAAAAATTGACATTTTAGTGAAATCTAAAAAAATTCATATCTTCGTTATTATAGAAGTCACAGATTTGAAATAAAGACATTATACAGGCACTTTTTTACGTAGAATTTAATAATGTAGTTAACAATTTTTTTCAGTTGTTTGTTTAGCCGTAATAAAATAAACTTTTATTTTTTTTATATGGGAACCATAGATGGTTAAAAAGCTTGTTTTTTTCTTATCTAAAAAATATATATTTGTAACAAATTATTATAATACATTTTTAGCAAAAAATTATTTTTGATTTTTGTTCGCAGTTGGCCATGAAAAAATGTTGCATCTTCAACTAAAAGCATTTAAACTATATTATATTCAACCAGTGTCACTAATAGAAGAGTTTTCTAAGTACTAAGTAATGAAAAAGATATAAAATAAATTGTAAATCAACTTATTGGCGACTAATAACATTTCTTTGTTTTTAAACACGCTAACATTACATTACATTACCATTACATGTAGTGATACATAGAGTGTTGTAAAAAAAAAGTCGCTTTAATTCTTCAATAAAATATATTTTATATGACACAAAAATGCCGATATGGCTATTCAAATACCCAAATTCCGTCTATGTGGAACGTTATCCTACCTCCATTAGACCATCAAAAAAATGGTTTTTCTAATTGTGTTAACTGTTGACACATTTGTTTTTCCTATTTTTGGATTTTTTAAAAATATGTAATAATTTTGTTCTAAGGCGCTCGCATATTTGTTCAATACTTCTACCGTATCGTATTTTTTAAATTTTTAGAATTTTATCTATTTTTTCATCTATTTTACAGTTCACAAAACTCTTATTGATTATTATTTACGTATTTGGAGTGAAATAGTTTTTCCATGTCCAACTATTATCACACAAAATATGTATTTCACTTTTTAAGTATAGTTATAAAAAAATATTTTGTTACAAATATATATTTTTTAGATCAGAAAAAAATAAGCTTTTCAAAATTGCCATAGCCGCCTATGATTTCCATTTGAAAAAATACAAGTTTATCTTATTACGGCTCTACTAATAACTGAAAAAAATTGTTAACTACATTATTAAATTCTTCGTAAAAAAATGCCTGTATAATGTCTTTATTTCAAATCCGTATCTTCTATAATAAGGAAGATATGAATTTTTTTAGATTTCGCCAAAATGTCAACTTTTGTCTGTAAGTCCAAAACAAGAGACGATAGAGGGATGCGGTTTTAACCAATATTATTTTCTCAAAAAATGAGCCCCAGAATGTATCACTCGTTTTTGACTAAACCTCTCTTAGTTTCGGAGATTCCCTATTCGGACATCCAAAATGCAGCACCCTGTACATGCTGCTTCCTCCATATTATATTTCCATAATTTAAAATACTATGGAATAGAGCATAATAAGTTGTCAGGGCAGCTTTTTCGTTTATTGCAGATTTAATTTTTCGTATTGCGTAGATAGCAGAGGCCAATTTATTACAATTTTTTTCAATATGCCCGTTCCAGGAGAGTTTATTATCTAGATATACTCCTAAAAATTTTACTTTAGTATCATCTGTTTCGGTGTTAAAATTGTGGATTTTTTTTATTTCAGTTTTCTCTTTGTTTAATACTAATTTATTTGCTGCAAACCAATGTCCTGTTCGTTCTACTATCTCTTTAATTATTGGTTCCTCATTTTGGCTCTTGTCCACATTAACGCAAAACGAGGCATCATCTGCATACATCACTGTAAGTTTTTTTTTGTTGACATATGATTTGGTAGATTGTTTATGTAGACAAGAAACAAAATGGAACCGAGTATCGAGCCCTGTAGAACTCCTCTAATAATTTTACCCTCGTGACTAACCTGACCATTTATCGCGACATATTGAGAGCGCTCTGATAAATATGACGTAAAAATGTCTAGACATTTTCCTTTCCGGAATCCGAATTGTTGAGGTGTTAATATGCGGTATTTTTCAAAAAAGATAACGAGCTGTTTTGTGAGCACCACCTCGAGGATTGATGAGAGAATAGATATTTGCCTATAGTTTTTCATTTCATTAACCTAATGACTTACCATCTTTGTTCATTCCAACGTTCTGGCATTTCCTCAACCGGCAAGCTCTGCACTGGTTTCGGTGCGTTTTGTCGATGATGCACGAGCCTTCGTCTTTGGCTTTGCAGACGTATTGGCGGTTTCGGCGGATTGAACGTTTGAAAAAGCCGGCACAGCCGTCACAGGCGAAGATGTTGTAGTGTTTTCCGGAGGAAAAGTCGCCGCATACCTTGCAGGGTATGTCCAAAATTCGACCTGTAACAAATAGGAAATTCTAAATTGTAATTAGGCGAAATGGAAGTGCTCTTTAGTGTGGGGTTGGGTGTCAGGTACCGGAAGGAAAAGCGGTGAGTAAAATGAACAGTTTCCTGTGCCGCATAATAAACTATAATTTGGGGATGAGGGTGAAATGGAAACGTGCACTTTGATTATCAACTTATCGGGCGGTCTTTATTCCTGCACCTATCGAAGACTTTTTTCTACTATTATTATGTAAATTAAAAAATAAAACAATAATAAACATTTCTTGCACGTTATTGATTTACATTTTGATTTTTTTTATACTTAAGTATATTGAAACACATACATAGATGCAGATCTATAAATAATAATAATAGTTATGAGAAAACATGCAAAATTGGAAAAAAATAAAAAAAACTGTAAACAAAATAAAAACTTTAAAAAAAATGTTAGGTTCGTTTATGATGTATTTAAGGAAAAGCATTGTAAAATATTGCTTAAAAAACAAAACTATTTTTACTTTTCTTAAAAATGTTGTATTTTGTCAGCATAACTGTTTCTAGAATTTATTTTTGTGATACTAATAAGCGCAATCTGCATCTCTTTCACTTATTTTATCATTTCTCAATTTATATTTTTTTATTTATAAACATTTTGTAGTTTTTTTAAGCTACAGATTTAAAAAAAAATAAAAAAAGAAGCTTTCTACAGTTGAAAATTAGCTCATGTTTGTATATAAATGTTAAATTGTCTCCACATTAAAATACACATTTCGTATTTTTATTCTTAAGACAAACTTGTTTAAACAACTAGACTAAATATTATAGTTTTTATCTCTATTAAATTGCTTTTATTAAATCATGAATGTAAACAAAAATGAAAAAATACGTTGAATTTTTTATTTCTTATTTTATTTTTCGGAAAATAGCAACTCATGGTAAATTAAAATAAAGCAATTTGTGCTATTTTCAATCGATTTAAGCCAAAAATTAAGCTGAATCAGAGTGTTTCAACAAAATAATGACTCGAAAAAGAGTTTTCTTCTAAAATAATTTGAGCTATTTTCAATCTAATTTGCTCGATTTTAATACCGATTTCATTCTAAATTAATGTATTTTATAAAAATAATTTTTTTCAATGCCAATTTTAGGCTGAAATGAAGCAATTTGTGCTATTTCCAATAGATTTGGCTCAATTTGAAGCCGGGAATCAACCTGAATCAAAGTATTTCAACCAAATACTGTCTTGAATGAGAGTTTTCTACAAAAATAAAGCAATTTAAGCTATCTTTAATTCAATTTTTCTCGATTTTAATACAGAATTAATTCGAAATTAATGTATTTTATAAAAATAATTGTTTCAATCCCAATTTTGGGCTGAAATAAAGCAATTTGTGCTATTTCCAATCGATTTACGTCAATTTTAAGCCTGAAGACAACCTAACGTTCGAGAAAAATGAACACATTTTTAAAAATCTATTGCCTTTACTTTAAAGTATGTTTAATTCAATTATAAAACTGGCCTTAAAATTGTGAACGAAAGTTTTTTCTCGTAGCATAAACTTTTATAAGCCGATTTATAAAAATGATAAAATTAAAAAACATTTTTTAAATATGTAGATAAAAAATATATACACGGTGATGATCACAAACACAAATTTTTCATTTTTAATTTTATTTTTCCGGAATATTTTTCCGGAAATAGCAACTTATGGCAAGTCTGGGAAAGATGGACCACATTTTTGAAAACCAACTGTAAACTTCTTTTTCTTTTGGTATAAACTTTTATATGACGATTTATAAAAGTAACAAAATTAAAAACATATTCTGCAAAATGAATTAATAAAAAATTAAATAAATTAAAATAAAAAATATATACACGTTGATAAACACAATTTAACCCGACAAACCAAACTTTTATTCTCACCTGAGGATGACCACTTTGTGGTTGAAACGCGTTGTGTTTTAAATAAATAAAAGTTTTAGTGTGTCCAGTGAAATTGTATTTGTGTTTATCATTCCCATAACAAAATGATCCAACAAGAAGAAGGATATACACGGTGATTCAAAAGAGTTGTACCATCTCTTATATGAACGTGATAGAAAACATGAAAAGAAATTCTGACATTCTTTTAAAATTTTTGTACATTTGACTTAAAAAATTAAGGGTAAGTTTATAGAAAACAAGTTTAAAAATTAATTCGTTGTTAAAAGATAATGCGCGATTAACCCTCGAATCTGAGCATTTGGTTGGTTCAATTTGGTCACGTGATCAGTCAATCTGACGTTTGATTACAATTAACCGACTGTAAGATTAGGTGGAGCTCTAGAAGAGTTCTAAGTTCCAATGTCCCTCTCTCCCTCTGGTTCATCTCTCCCGGATTTACCCTGTTAGCTATTGAAATTTTATAGAAAACAGAAATTAAGTAGACATAAAACTACTATTTATCTTTTTTTAGAACCAACGATTTTTAATCAATAAAACAATCACAATCATATTATTTCGTTCTAGAGTTTTAATTAAAATTTAGGCTGTGACTCAATACAATTAAATGATTTATTTGGAGCATAAGAATTATTTTTAATATGTAAATACTAATATTTACTTTTTTATGGTTTAATGTGTTTAATATTTACCGAATCTCTAAAAAATTTTGTTGTACTAAATAATAACAAAATATTTCTCCTGTAGAAAGCATTTACGGATATTTTTTTAAGTTTACAAAAGAAGTAAAACAAAATAATAAACAATAGAAAAAATTAATTAATTTTTGTGTTGGTTTGTCTAAATTTTTTTTGGTAGCTGGATTTTCGCACTAAAATAAAAAATACAAGAGTTTTGTTTGTATTCCACTTACTGGACGAGGACGGCGATTGTGGCTTTATCTGCATACGATGCGGCTCAAGATGATGCACCATTGCACCTTCAACACTTTGCATTTCACTCATGTCACAACTGAGCACCCCCGAAACAAATCCGAAAAAATTACAACAACCGACTTGAATGATCTGACGTTGCGAACAGATAACTCCGAAACTTTTAAAAGCTTTTGCTCACCCTTTGGATGATTTACCGACATGAATGAATCCCTTTTTGACTTGGGAACAGCGCTTAGGTGACTCGGATTGGTCGAGAGTGTCCCTACCCAAGCAAGGGATGCCTAAGCCCTACCCTCTTCCGGCAACCACCCGACCCTTACTATGAAGAGGCGGGGGCAAGCACTAACTTACTACAGTCGAGAAGGTAAAAGCAAAGTTGGAAAGTGAAATTTACATTGAGGAAATTATTGAAATTTCCAGATAGGTATCTCGTGTTTGATCAATGAGTAATTTAATCTAAAGTAGGAGAACCTTAATTCTAGACAAAAAAATTTATTGCGTTATAAACTGTATCGCAAATTTTTGCCCAGTCATTCGATATACAAACAGAAAAGTCTTATCTAAAGACCAAATTAAATAGCAATGGTGTAAAAGCAGTCTGGACTTAAGGCAAGCAAATAAATAATAACAAAACATCAAAAAATATTAAAGGCACAAAAAAACTTACTAGTTTGGTGATAGTTTTTGAGGATAGCCATCTCCAACATTCTCAGACAAAATACAAAGTCATCCTACTGCACTCTAGTTTCTTTCTAGCTTATCTAGAATCTTGACTTTGTTCTATTATCAATAAACAGAACGAAAATTATTATTTCATCATATCTAAAATCACTCCCAAAAACTTATCATTTATCGAAATATTGACAAACACAGGATATTCCCGTCACAGCAAGAAGGATCAACTAAAATTCTTCTCAGTGTGATAATTAAATAATCAGATAAGGAAGTGGTATCAGCAGTTTTAAGCTTTGCCATTATGTTTTAAAATACCACAACTAGAATAACCGATTTGAGAAAAATTTTTCATAAACATGAAGCCCCAATAAAAGGTGAGTAACGTCAATACTGAAATATTTTTAATAAAGAGCAATAACATGTGCGGAGTATATTAGGGGTCCAATATGATGTTCTGAATATTAATAACTGAATTCCGTTCGCGTTTTCATTGCACCCCTTGAACTAAATCAACCAGATGATTAAATTACTCGCCAAATATGAAGAGTAAACTTTCAGCGATACGACAAGCTTAAGTTTTTTTTCACATGTCGAGAGTCCTAAATTGAAAAAAATCGATTTCGGCCTAATTGACAGAAACAAATAATCCGGGAATTATTACGTACACCTGGACTCGTTTTATGTGGGATGCGTGGGACTTGAATTGCGTGCTGTGAGGGTGCCATGTGGTCCAGAGTACCGGAAGTGGTACCTGTGTACTTCCTCACTTGTTAGCACCAGATTTATTTTCAATGACAATTGCAATTTCACCAAATCGATAACTGATAACTAAGGCTCGGATTATATGCACGAAAAATTCGTAAAATGGGCATATACAGAGTGAATATAAAGTATGGAACCAAGCGGTTTTATTTTTAATCATTTGCCTCCAGCAAATAATAATTAATATAAATTAAAGTAATATAAAAAATGTGATAGTATTTTCAGATCGAAATTTTGTTTTGTTTTTGTCAAAATTTGCAATTTAGTGTAAAAATTTTTTTGAAAAAATTAAATATAAAGCGGATAGTTGTGATACTTAGAGTATAGCTTTTATGAGAAAAATGATTTTATAGTTGGTTGCCATTTAAAAAAATATTTTTTTTTGTAAAACTCATAAATTAAAAAAAAAATATTTTTGTTAAATTATCACATTTTTATAGTACTTTATCATTCTTCAATTAGTTTTTTCAAAAAATAAATAGTTTAAGTAAGAAATGTTTGGTTCCATACTTTTTATTCACCTGGTATATGCACGTATTTTCACAAAAATATGCACAGGATATTTAGAAATTTGCTCCAATATATGCCAAATATGCATTAATACGTAAAACTTTTAACAATAAAAAATCAAAGTTGGGATAAATTCTTATTCTCGACTTTGTACTATCGACAAGAGAATAAATAAATTAGTTTTGCCTCAGACAATCCATTTTAATAACCTTGTAATTAACCTTTTCTAAGAAATCTCTTCTTTTCAGATAATATCACTTAAAATATTTCGCTAAAATTCACTTGCAGCCAACTACTTATCCGAATGGTAAGATTATAGCCATAAAAAATAAAAAGTAAATAAAACGTATGAAACCAAACGTTTTTTGCTTAAACTATTTATTTTTTGGAAGAACCAATTAATGAATGATAAACATGGAGATAGTATTTACTATACTAGTAGTATTTACTATACTAGGTCTATAATGATAAAGTACTATAAAAATATGATGTTCTATCAAAAATATTTTTTTCAAAATCTTCGTTTGTTCTACAAAAATATATTTTTTTAAATCACAACCCACTAAAAAAGATTTTTTTCGTTAAGGTTATGATCTAAAAATTACAACTATCTAGTTTATATTCATATTTTTTTAGTATTTTTTTACTTACTATATTGCAATTTTGACAAAAAAAATGCGTAACTCAAAAACAAAACAATTTTTTTTTTCAAAATAAGATCACATTTTTATATTACTTTAATTTATATCAAGTATTATTTTTTAGAGGCAAATGATTTAAAAAAAAACGCTTTGTTTCATACTTTATATTTACCCTGTATAAAACGAATTCAAAAAGAAAACACTCAACAGGATACTAATTTTTTCAGTCCGGCTTACGAATTACCGGTTGTTTTCTCTTTAACATATTTTGTAATCTGATCTTTTTTCTTAAACTGACTTAACTTGAACTGAAATTTTTAATCAGAAATTTGTGATTTGAAGAAAATATGCACAAATATGCAATATTTAATAAAATATGCACGAAGTTGCCAAAATATGCAAAAAAATATGCCTTTTTAATTTGTTTATTTTAATCAAAAAACATTAGATATGCATAGAAAACTTATAATTTTGTTGATATACCTCTTAATGCATTTTGCATATAATCCGAGCCTTACTGATAACAAATAATTATTTTTAACTCAAATTGTGCTAAAAATTGCTTATTTTTGTCCACATTCCCACGCATCATTAAATTGGGAGTGTTGCTATCATCCCCCAAATGACAATATGCTAACTACTCTCACGGGGTGCCATCACATATGTTACCTGTTACTAATCAGGGATGCTCTGCTATATCATAGCGTCATTTGTTTCTCTTATCCGTGGGAATGTGAGATGATGACACATCGGCTAGTAAAAAATGATTAGCGATTTTTCAACCCCTCTTCTTATTTGCAATCGGGAAAATAGATAATACTGCGTGATAAAAATCACGTATCAATTATCTAATGGCTTGTTTGCGGCCGTTGGGGGACATTTGCTGATGAACAAAGAGCTTTTGAGCCAGCGGCTAATCTTCCACATTGTGAAGCGTGGTCATTGTCAGTGGTTGCAGCCGGCGATGCTGACAACCAAAATCAACTTGTTGGTCATGAGTTTTATTGAGGAAATGAGTTTCTCCAAGAAGTGTGATTGAGAAATTTACAAATTTTTCAATGGATTAGAGTACGGGATTGCCGACGGGGGGTCGATCCTCAAGCTCCTGGCGGAATTTTTGTCGGTAATAAAGTGACCCTTTCCAGGTCAAATCTCTCCGGAGCAACTTATTCAAATTTCCTGTAAACTTTGTTTCCGAAGATAATCCTATTAGCACTTACCTGAAATTGTGAATAACGGAGCAATTAAACCGACCGAAATACTGAGCTTTTCTGTGAAATCACCCAAACAGGAAATTAGCTTTTAATTTCAAGTATCTTGTAAGTTGATTTTAGTTTTGTTTTTGAATATTTGAAACTAATTTTAGTCAATTTGCACAAAAAAATTAAACGGTGGTTCTAAATAGTAAAAATTTATACAAAAACAAAACGCTTTTTGTCTTTTAATACAGGCTTCTAAAAATTTCTGCGATTTATTTAGCTTTCTAAAACAAATTTTTTTCAAACTTGTTAAAATAGAACATAAAATCACACATAGTAAATGCGGTTTTATGAAAGCTTAAAAAAATTGCAGAATCATCTTCTGATAGTGCGCAAAAACTGTATCTCAGTACTTGTGACAAAAATAACTATTTTGATACTAATGATTTTTAACTTAAATGATTTTATTCGCAAACGTCACAAAAGTAAACATTTGTATGACTAAATGTCAAAATTTTATCTTTCAGCCATGGAGAAAAAATTGTACTTTTGCGCCTAAGCGTTTTTACTTTCACCATGAGATTATTAACATTTATCAATGTTTTTCTTGTTGCTTCAGCTATTTATAGAGATCTACATTGTATATCATCAGCATTCAACTTTTTGCACTACTAACTGCCCTAGTTAAATTAATAAAACTTTAAAAAAATGTCAAAACAAATTTATAAACAAATGTTTGTTTATAATGGTTTTTATGATTTTATTACTTGCAAAGCGTTTTGATTGTTTTGTATATTTACCTGCTAATTATATTGTGACTCTTGACTTTTAATATAATAAAATACTATATGTTATTCGGAATAAAAGTGAGTTTATGTGGCTCAACTGAATTATTTGCCTAAGTTTCGCCACATAAACTATCACTTTTACTCCTAATAACATAATATTCTATTCGCTCAGTAAAACAAAACATAAAATAACAATAAAATTGGCAAAACAGTTCTTGTTTTTAATTTTTTTGACACTATTTATATTGCATTTTATTGAACTCAAAACTTGAAATTGCAAATTAAAAAGCTAATTTTTTATTTGTTTTATTTTTTGTGTTCTAACAAAAGTTTTAAATATGTTTTGATCTACAGATCTACTTGTGGAATAATAAATGATAGTAATAAAAAGGTAATTTACGTTGTAAGTCTGATAAGTTAAATATTATAGTACCCACAGTACAAATGAAATGTTTAATACTATTAAAAAAAACATAAAAAAATTGTGTTAACGTTTTATCGTGTCAGAAATAACAATCTGAAGAGTGTTTGTCGCTTGATTACTCTTATCGGCTCTGATGTCGTAATAGCTTACTTTCCGTACTCAAAATGAAGCCGGGAAGAAAAAAATTGAAATTGAATTTTTAAGAAAGACAGTAAACAAATTGGTTTCTTTACAACTAAATGTTACACACACAAGAAAAATTTTGAATTAATGTATAAAGTGTTTCATTTTAATATTCAAATTTAGAGCAAGTGATAAAATGAAATTTTAGAACAAAAGTTTTTTATAAACATGTAACGAAAAAGGCAAAATAATTAAAGTAGTTTTTACTCTACACCCCCCAGTTTAGGACACCTCTGATTAAAAATTTCGACATTTGATCTATGAATTTGGTGTCTAAAAGTTATGAGCTGTACCAAATTTTGTAATTTTATCTATAATGATTTTTAAAAATTCTATTTAAACACACACCTCTTTTCCTTTTCAAAAAGTTTACCTCTTTTACATTGATTTTTTGATACATGATTATAGAAAATTTTTGCCTTAAAATTGAATATTCTATTACCCGTTCAAATTTGTTACAATAAAAACTGAAAACCCTGTATATTGTTGCTTAGGCTATCAACAAGTTACAATATTTTTTTCAGTACAAAATAAAAAAAATAAAAACTCAAAATTTTGTTTTGAACTACGGTATTTTTGCTAAAGCATTTTCTTTAATTTTTGCTAAAGATTTCTCATTGCA